CACCAAAGGCAGGGAGAAAAGTCATATCCTTGTCAATGAGGGTGGTGCGCGATGGAGACCCAATGTCCATCTCCAGACAACTGGACATACCTTGCAGAGGGGTAGTGGGGACATAACATTTATTAAATAATAGTATATGCAAGAATACCAATAAAAGGAAACTAACACTACAAACTACAATTCTGAAAAAAAAATCCAATGTAACAGGAACAAATTATACAGAACATGTGGGAAATGTTTGATTTTGACCCATCACGTGTTTCTTTTCACAATGAACCCAAATGTTCATCCAAGCAAAACTGTATGCCTCGGTCTAACATTAGTGCTTAAAAATCATGGTTAGATGCTGCAAAGTAGGTGGCAAGGCCTTAACCGCATTCATGTTGTAAGGCCCGAGGGCCTCATCCATCCTTGCCAAGGGGCATACTAACCTCCTCTCCTTTCATACAACACTGATTATTCTTATAAAATGTCTGCACACCATTGTGAAATAGCAAAACAGTGTTATGACTTATGATATGATTAAGTGACCATGAATAAGATCCGGATCCTATCTCACCCTTCCCATCTGTAAAATGGCACTAATGGTACTTGCCAGCTCCGTCTGTTTCAGGAAAGCTGTGAAGAATGGAGGATGGAAGCTTTATAAATCCGCGATATTATCAACAGGATGCTACTGATAGTTGCATAGCTCTTTTACAAGCTATGTGAAACAAGGACAAAAACAACAAAGGCATTGCTGATGAGGTCATTCTGATGCCCTGTCCTAAGAGAGGAGTTCCGTAGGGTGTTCTTGGCTGTAACCTTTACAGAAGCAGCGTGCGAGGCGTTTCTCCAGTTATACAGCTGAATGGGCTCAAATCACGAACTTTGAGGCTAGCAGTCCATTTCAAATGGTTTGTATCACACAGAGAGCACTTCCCAGGGCATAGAGACCTTGCATTGCTTCATAGAGCTCTAGGGAGTAGAACAGTAATGCTCTACCCATATGGGAAATTGACCAATCCAATGGATAAATGACTGACCCCCACATGGCACAGTCAGGTGCTAGCCTATCATTGAATACTATTGATTAATATTTCCCAGTCCAATAATTAGCCTGGTGAGTCTAGAGTGCTTCTGGCTATTGCTATGGTATAAAAGCCCCAATTGTCTTGTTAGCGTATAGGCATGGTTTCTGGAATGAAATTCAAAGTGAACTTTTCTATTTTTCCTGGGGCTCTTAAATTCTCAGATAACTTTCTTCCACACTTACTTTCTGGTTTCAATAGAAAAAAAGCATAAAAATGCTGAGTGTGGACTTTCTGGCCATCAGAATAGGGGAGGGTTTGAATGTCTCAAGAAATATTGGTTTCCTTGAAGCTTTCAGACATTTCCCCCACTAACTGCATAAATAGCTTGGGGTGAAAGAAGGCAAAGACAAATGATGGGAAAGAAGTTGACAAGAGGGTGAAAATGTTGCATTTTCTAAAGAGAGTGTCAGATAACTGCTGCTATCTCATGAAAAAAGGGGAAGGGGGTGGTTAAGTTGGCATGGCAGTGTAAATAGCAGGTATCCAAGAATGAGAAGATTTGCGCCCTAGTCTTGATTCTGCCAGGCTACTAGTTATTTAATCAACTTTGGCTTTAAGCTTTAATATAAAGACTATATAAGGTCTTGGAGTCTTTGAGTGGTGCGAATGGTTAAAAAGTTTGATATTAACCAAAAAGTAAGTTCAAGTCTACTCACAGGTATCTTGGAAGAAAGACCAAGTGATCCACTTAAACAAACAGACACTGGAAACTCTATGGGGTGGAATTCTCTTCTGACACATGGAGGGCAGCTGTGAATTGGATTCAACACCACAGCAACTGTTTTGTAAGAACCCCTTTAACTAAAATTTGTTATATAACTAAGCTGCTTCGTAAATTTTCCTACTGTATTGGTTAAGCATTGTTTGTCCTTCCACCCTTGGCAATATGAGGAAAGGGCAGTTTCAAGTTCCCCAGGTGGCTTTTTGGATTTATGAAAAATGTGCCATGAAACTCGAGTATTCCTTGTCAAGGCTGAGTTCTCCTAGATGACTGATGCGGGAGTCTCGCATGGGGCTTGTGAAGCTAAAGGCGTCTCTCAGTTTGTAAATCATCAAGGTGAGGAGGGTGGGTTCTGTTCACAGGTTTCAAGAAAGAGTTCTTATCTCCATTACCATCATATTCCAACCACTTTCAATACTGGTTTGCTAATTCATTTACATAGGTATCTCCGCATCTAATCCTAACATGTAGCTGTGCAGAAACAATAAGAAACCCGGACAGAAGAGATAAAACTGCTTATCAATCTACTGAAGTTCCAAAACAATCTGTTCTTGTGACTGGAAATCCCGAAACCTGACACTTGTATTGACGAGATTATTAATCTTAAATGGCCAGACATATCAAATGAATTAAAAGTTTACTTGATTTGATCTAGGCAGACAGTGCCTAAGTTAATGCCATCAATTGGCTTAGGGTTTATTCAATACAACTAATTTTAATAATATTAATGATAATTCAAGTTTTGCTTTCATATAAACAGGAATTTAGAGTCACCACCTTCAGATGGTTATCTTTGTCATCCTACGTGTATGTGACTCTCACTGAAAAGCAAAATACAAATGACCTTTTCTTAAAGAAATTAATAAATCACTTTATTGGGGCTTCTTACAGCTCAGCATACATATTGAATAAGCATGGTGAAAGGATTCAACCCTGATGCACAGTTTTCCTGATTTTAAACCACACAACATTCCCTTATTCTGTTTGTACCACTGCCTCTTCCTCCATGTACAGGTTCTGCATGAACACAATGAGGAATTCTGGAAATCCTATACTTCTCAATGTAATCCATAGTTTTGATCCACACAGTTGAATACCTTTGGATAGTCAAAAAAGGCATAACAATTTTTCTGGTATTCTTTGTTTCACCCAAGAACCATCTGATATCAGCAATGCTGTCCTTCTTTCCACATCCTCTTCTGAATCTAGTCTGAACCTCTGGCAGCTCCCTGTCAATGTACTGCTATAACCATTGTTGAATATCTTCAGTAAAATGTTACTTGCATGTGATAGTAACATATTTGTCAATTACTCTTACATGGCTGAAATACATTTTTCTGTCTCAAAGTGTCACTTGATGCTGCCACCATTGTCTTAATAGAGTCTACTAAATTTGCAAGCCTTTGCATTTTACGATGTATTTCAAGAGAAGTCCTGATCCCCAATAATTAGAATTTGAGCATTAAGGCATCCATAAGCCCTTCCTTCACTCTAGTTGAAACTATATCCCTTTGGCCATGCCATATTATGGTAGGTGCCCTGCGCAGAAAAGCCTCACGCATAGTGAGGTGGGTAGTTTATTGTGCCAGCCTGGCCGACAAACACATGTGCGATTAATTGAAGGGAGGACGGTAACTGGCTCAGTGAGCCTCGCCTTTCTGGTTCTCAGGTCTCTTGCTTTCTGATGGCCACACCAGGGTGCAGCTGCCCTAGCAGTTTCCTGCTTCAGCTTGCAAGGCTGACTTCCCACAAGACATCCCTGAGGAGAAGCCACATGGACCTACCCTGATGTAGCCCTGGGTGCTGGAGCACCCATGTGGAGACCTGTGCCAACGCTGAGATGTTTGCACGTTCACTGACTCGGATTTCCTCCTGCAGTCGGCGTCATTGCATCTGTTTTGTGAGTTGGAGGAGGACTTTGTGGACTGGTCTTGGACATATGGGTTAATGGGTGAATGTTGGACTTGTGGGTTTGGGCAGCACTGGGTTGGGATGTTTACTTGATGCACTTAACCTTTATATAAAACTCTCTCTTATATATGAGTTTCTGTGGATTTGTTTCTCTAAAGTACCTAGGTTAATATACATAGGATTTATCTATATGACAGTGTTAGGCGGGGTTGACTAGAGAAACAAATCCAGTGACACTCATATATGTGTAAGAAAGAGCTTTATGTCAAGAAATTGCACATATGAGGAAAACATCCCAGCCCAGTCCAGATCAAGCCCATACGTCCAATACTAGTCTGTAAGTCTCTTTTTAGACTCACACGGCCACATGCAATAATGCAGAATGCAGGAAGATCACAGGTCGGTGGGTGCAAAGTCTTGTGGATCCAATGAAGGTGAACACATCTCCAGGGCTCTGGCAGGTCTCAGAGTGCCTGCCAGAAGGAAGGTGGAGGTAGAGAGAGAGTGGGGAGGTTCCCAGGGTCCTCCTTATGAAAAGGACATGCCCATAAGGAGGTATCATCAGGCTATGATCTGATTTACAGGTTGAATACCACTCCTACACTGTTATATATCTTCAACGACATGAAATTTTTTTTTTTTTT